TTGTGTTGTTCTTCATTGTTTGTTTGCTCTTTGGTTCTTCTAGTTCCTTGTTAAACGTTTCTTGTATTTTCTCCATTCTATTTCCAAGATTTTGGATCATCTTTACTATCATTACTCGGAATTCTTTTTCAGGTAGACTGCCTATTTCCTCTTCATTTGTTAGTTCTGGTGGGTTTTTACCTTGTTCCTTCATCTGCTGTGTGTTTCTCTGTCTTCTCATTTTGCTTAACGTACTGTGTTTGGGGTCTCCTTTTCGCAGGCTGCAGGTTCATAGTTCCCATTGTTTTTGGTGTCTGTCCCCAGTGGCTAGGGTTGGTTCAGTGGGTTGTGTAGGCTTCCTGGTGGTGGGGACTGGTGTCTGTGTTCTGGTGGATGAGGCTGGATGTTGTGTTTCTGGTGGGCAGGACCATGTCTGGTGGTGTGTTTTGGGGTGTCTGTGACCTTATTATGATTTTAGGCAGCCTCTCTGCTAATGGGTGGTGTTGTCTTCCTGTCTTCCTAGTTGTTTGGCATAGGGTGTCCAGCACTGTAGCTTGCTGGTCATTGAGTGGAGCTGGGTTTTAGCATTGAGATGGAGATCCCTGGGAGAGCTTTTGCCATCTGATATTACGTGGAGTTTGGAGGTCTGTGGTGGACCAATGGCCTGAACTCAGCTTTCCCACTTCACAGGCTGAGGTCTGACCTCTGGCCGGAGCACCAAGACCCTGTCAGCCACACGGCTGAAAGAAAAGCCGAAAAAAGGAAAGAAAGAAAAAATAAAATAAAATAATGTTATTAAAATTAAAAAATTTAAAAATTATTAAAAATAAAAAACATTAAAAAGTAATAAAGAAAAGAAAAAAAAAGAAAGAAGAGAGCAACCAAACCAAAATACAAATCCACCAATGATAGCAAGTGCTAAAAACTATACTATTAAAACAGACAAACAAAAAGAACAAAACAAAGAAAATGGACAGACAGAACCCTAGGATAAATGGTAAAAACAAAGGTATACAGGCAGAAATCATACGAAGAAATATACACATGCACACCCCAAAAAGGGAAAAAGGAAAAAAAATATATATATATTAAAAAAAAGGGAAGAGAGCAACCAAATCAATAAACAAGTCTACCAATAATAATAAACTCTAAATACTAAACTAATGCAAAGATAAAACCAGAAAGAAATTAGATGCAGAAAGCAAACCCCAAGTCTACAGTTGCTCCCAAAGTCCACCGCCTCAATTTTGGGATGATTTGTTGTCTACTTCGGTATTCCACAGATGCAGGGTACATCAAGTTGATTGTGGAGATTTCATCTGCTGCTCCTGAGGCTGCTGGGAGAGATTTCCCTTTCTCTTCTTTGGTTGCACAGCTCCTGGGGTTCACCTTTGGATTTGGCCCCGCCTATGCATGTAGGTCACCTGAGGGCATCTATTCTTTGCTCAGACAGGATGGGGTTAAAGTAGCAGCTGATTAGGGGGCTCTGGCTCACTCTTACCAGGGGCAGGGAGGGGTACGGAATGCGGGGCGAGCCTGCAGTGGCACAGGCTGGTGTGACGTTGCAACAGCCTGAGGTGCACCATGTGTTCTCCCGGGGAAGTTGCCTCTGGATCATGGGACCCTGGCAGTGGCGGACTGCACAAGTTCCTGGGAGGGGAGGTGTGGATAGTGACCTGTGCTTGCACACAGGCTTCTTAGTGGCTGCAGAAGCAGCCTTAGCATTTCATGCCCGTCTCTGGTGTCCACGCTGATAGGCAGGGCTTGCGCCCGTCTCTGGACCTCATCTAGGCGGTGCTCTGAATCCCCTCTCCTTGTGCACACCAAAACAGTGGTCTCTTGCCTCTTAGGCAGTTCCAGACTTTTCCCCGGACTCCCTCCTGGCTAGCCGTGGCGCACTAGCCCCCTTCAGGCTGTGTTCACGCAGCCAACCCCAGTCCTCTCCCTGGGATCCGACCTCCAAAATCTGAGCCTCAGCTCCCATCCCCTACCTGCCCTGGTGGGTGAGCAGACAAGCCTCTCAGGCTGGTGAGTGCTGGTCAGTACCAATCCTCTGTGCGGGAATCTCTCCATTTTGTCCTCTGCACCCCTGTTGCTGAGCTCTGCTCCGTGGCTCCGAAACATCTCCCCCCCCGCCCACCCCGTCTCTACCAGTGAAGGGGCTTCCTAGTGTGTGGAAACTTTTCCTCCTTCACTGTTCCCTCCCAGAGGTGCAGGTCCCACTGTATTCTTTTGTCTCTGTTTTTTCTTTTTTCTTGTCCCTACTCACATACGTGCAGAGTTTCTTGCCCTTTGGGAAGTCTGAGGTCTTCTGCCAGCGTTCAGTAGGTGTTTTGTAGGAGCAGTTCCACATGTAGATGTATTTCTGATGTATTTGTGGGGAGGAAGATGATCTCCACGTCTTAGTCCTCTGCCATCTTGAGGGTCTCCCCTGTTCTTATTTTGTAATGTATGCATTTAGTGCTATAAGTTTTTGTCTCAGTCCTGAGAGGCATTATAAGTAGGATTTTTATTTTCATTCAGTTCACTATGATTTTCCTTGAGAATTCCTATTCCATGGATTATTTAGAAGTACGCTATTTAGTTTCAAGCATTTAGAGATTTTCCTGTTATCCTGTTACTGACTTCTAGTTTGATCCCATTGTGGTAGGAGAACACACTCTTATTATTTTAATCCTTTTACATGTATTGAGGTTTGTTTTTTATGGTCCAGAACATGGTGTATCTTAGTATACATTCCATGGCACTTGAAAAGTATATATTCTGCTATTGTTGGATTGGGTGTTCTGTCAGTGTCTGATTCTGTTTTGATTGATGGTGTTGTTGAGTTCTTCTAGTTCTTTGCTAAGTTTTTTTTAAAATTTATTTTATTTTTGGCTGCATTGGGTCTTCGTTGCTGCATGCGGGCTTTCTCTAGTTGCAGCAAGCAGGGGCTACTCTTTGTTGTGGTGCACGGGCTTTTCATTGCAGTGGCTTCTCTTGTTGCGGAGCATGGGCTCTAGGTGTGCATGCTTCAGTAGTTGTGGCACATGGGCTTAGTTGCTGCATGGCATGTGGGATCTTCCCGGACCTGGGCTTGAACCTGTGTCCCCTGCATTGGCAGGTGGATTCCTAACCACTGCGTCACCAGGGAAGCCCCTTTGCTAATTTTTTACTTAGCTCTCTATCAGCTGCTGTGAGAAGGGTGTTGAAGTTTCCAACTGTAATTGTGAATTTGTCCATTTCTCCTTTCAGTTCTATGAGTTTTTGTTTCACATGTTCTGCAGTTCTGCTGTTTGCATATATTTAGTATGCAAATATATTTATATTTGCAGTACATTTAGTCTGAAATCAAGGTGTTAGCAGGTCCATGTTCTTCCTGAAGGCTCTAGGGGAAGAAGCTTTCTTGCCTCTTCCTAGCTTCCGGTGGCCCCTGGCAATACTTGGTGTTCCTAGACTTGAAGCTGTAGCCCTGTAGTCTCTGTCTCTGTTTTCACGCAGCTTTATTTTCTCTGAGTGTCCTCTCCTCTTCTTATATGGACACCAGACATTTGATTTATCTCCCTGATCCCGTGTGACCTTACCTTAAACAGATTATATTTGCAAACATCCCATTTCCAAATAAGGTTACATTCCGAGATTCTGGGTGGACCTGAGTTTTTGAGGGGATACTATTCAACTCACTAAACTGACCAAGTTTTTTTTCCTCATAAGTTATATCTGCAGTTGCATAGTCAGAAATCTTCAAAGTCTCTTAAGCCACCAGACTTCTTGAGCCATTTTGACTTTCAGAGCCTTATGCTGAAATTTTTGAGATTCTTGCCTAATTCTGAGATTTTTGCCTTTTTAAAATACAGAGTACAGAGCCTTACCCTTATTGTTGACCTTAAACTCTTAAGATAACATGATGACTTTCTGTCAGGTTTCCATTATTCTCATTTTTTTCCTTTTAAGCCAGAGCAGCAGTTTTCCTAGTTACTTTCTCTACTAATATTGAGTTAAAGTATAGCAAGAAGTTGACACATGCTGTGCTCTTCCTCAAATGAGATTTTTAGTAGATCTGAGTAGGGACTAACTTTTTTTTTTTTTGAATTCCATGAGAAATATCTTGAATTTTGAATTTTACTCTGTGGATTTAGGGGCACTAGAGATTTTTGGACAGGGAGGTAAAGTGGTTAATCTGCAGGTTGGGGAGTAGTTGATGAGTACTGGATGCATGGAGACAGCGGGGAGTCTGTTGGGGTTGCACATGAATCATCTGGAGAGCTTGTTAAAATGCAGATGTATTAGCTTTGGGGTCTGTTGCTGCTGGTCTAGTGACCACACTTTAAGTAGCTAAGATTCATGATATGTTAGAGAAATTCCAGTGTTTTAATCTCACCAACTGTAGGCCACAGTTGAGTCCAGATTTCAAGTGGACAAACCCAGCAGACTGTTGGCATCACTTCCAGGTGTCTCAGCTAACATTTTAAATCCTGAATCTTGGGTGAATATACCCATAACAATAAATTCAGCCCTACCCAAGCACATATTTTTGCTTGGAAGGAGGGAGAAGGAAAACTTCTTTTTTCAGCAGAAAGGTTTTGGGGTTTTGGGATTCAAAGTTAGGCTTCCTCTTAGTTTACACATCCCCATACCAAGACACAGAGTCCCACTTCTCAACCTTTGCCCTTATCTTCGATCTGGCAGAGTTGTACTTTTAAATGGCATTGCAGATCTGCAAACCATACACATAGGCATAGGGCTAGATCCTCAGCCAGATCTCTCATGGAGCATTAAGGTTGCTAAATGAAGACATGTTCAAAGAACTAGATGCCTTGAAGTTATATACTGTTTATGTAAACACTATAGATTTTTTTCCTTAGTTAATTTTTAAAATGAGAATGAGTAAAGAAAGTTGAAATATTTCTTTGAATGTATGAATTGCCATTTGTTAGTCAGTGAATGTTTAGAAGGGCCTTTAATGTCCGAGATGCTGTGTCATATTGACAGTAGATTCATATGTTGTTGATCATTAACTTTTTTTTTTTTTTTTTTTACAGAAACTTATTGGAGAAGTGTTTAATATTGTGAGCCAACAGTCTACTGCTCGACCTGGCTGCATTATTGAACTCAATGCAATAACCAACCAAGTAAAACCATGCTTGTGAATTGGTGTTACTAACATACTTTATCCCAGAGTGCTTAATATGCATAAGATACACAGTTGAACCTTGAACAACTTGGGGGTTAGCAGCACTGACCCTTCTCACTATAGAAAATCCACATATAACTTATGGTCAGCTTTCTGGATCCTCAGTTCTGCATCTGCATATACAGTTAACTGCAGATTGAGTAGTACTGTAATAATTACTATTGAAAAAATTTCGCATTTAAGGGGACCTGTGCCGTTCAAGAGTCAACTATATTTCATTGCAGAATAGTTCTCTTGTTTGATACTAAATATAGCCAACTTCTCTTGATTTCCTTAGTGAAAATCTCCAATGATTTACGAATTCTTTTTCTCCAGTTGAATTGTATCTGTAGCCTTATTTCCTGTTTAAAGGTCATTTGATTCAGTCAGGGAAGCCATGAAGGAAAATACAGTACAGCTGCATAGAGGCATGGTTTGTGGTTTTTCTTTTTATATTGTTACTCATTTCAACTCAGTAGATGGTGACATCAGCTTTAAGAGTGTTTGCTTTGTTAGGCTGAGTATTAGATATTTTTATGAGATCCATTAAAATGAAGATAGAAGTAGGATCAAAGTATGCATTTACTTTCTAAGTACAGGTCTTTTGTGTAGGCAGTGTTCTTTCCTAGCTCCTACCTAGAAAAGAAGGAGAACCCTTCCCTCTACAGGGAGTTTGTAAATCCCATCATAGCCCTCATATTTGTTTCTTCAGGATCATGTTTATGGACTGAAGGGGATAGAAGTAATATATTCATTCCAAATATGAAAAAAGGTTACTTTGATGAGGAAGTTACCAACTATTTTCAAATAAGGAAATGAAGAAAGAGCCAACCATATTTAAAAACAAATACAGTGTTATGTCATTATTTTCCATGATGCCTTGCACATTCTGTTAGGGAAAATGTAATAATTTCCACCAATGTAGAGAAATGACCACATCAGCTCTTGGCAACAGAAATGTGGCTGCCAGACTCAAATTACTAACGCCTCCTAGGAAACCCTTAACTTGTGATTTCCCTTTTTTCACTCTATAGGGATATGGGAGAAGAGTGTATTAGCTTCAACCCATAAATGTCTTAATTTTTAATGAACTGCGAGTTAAATTCATTTCCCCAGTGTAGCCCCTTCTCTACTCTCTACCGTGGGATATTATTACAGACCTCTTTCACCTAGCATTTTGCTTTTTACTTCATACTTTTTGAAGATTTTTCCCTTTCCATTTGTGGCTATCTTTATCACAGGGCTGGTAAACTGCAAGCACTGATAAATAGCTTAGACTTATAAATCATTCTATGTTTCCAATGTGCTGTATGATTTCTGTATCCATGAAAGTGTCACCCTTCCCTTTTCTTTCATTTATTTTTCTTCCCTGGGGAAGGTGACCTTTTATGCTATGAATGTGAAGGGATTTTTTTATGTTTCTGTATGGAGAGACATAAAAATACCTTATAACTTTCATAAAAATTTTGTCGGTCAACCTAATGTCATAGTCATTTTATTTCCTTCTATCAATACTATGAAAGGAGGCTGATTTGCTTTATTCTCTAAGATTATAGACCATACATTCAGTGTCAAGATTATCATAGCTGCTTGCCTTCCTTGAAATCTGTGGGGCAGCCATCAAATTGTCTTGACCTACTTCCATAATAAGCTTTTGTTTGGATTTAGCCTTTCCTTGAATTTCAGTTCACTTTTGTGATTCTAAGCAGCTATTTGTGATTATCTTTACTCTTCTTCTCTGTGTGGTCCCAAACATGATTTTGTAGCATCAGCTGACTGTGATATTTCATCTGTTCTTTTAGAAATCTTAGTTACTTAAATGTAAATACATTTCTTCAGAGATGTGTCATTCCTACTGGCTGTTATAGGATCCTTCATAATTCCCACTAGACAGACTTATTGGAAATACTTTGAGGACCTTTCTGGGTTTTTTTTGTTTTGTTTTGTTTTCAAGTAGAATTAGAAAAAGAACCTGTGGTAGTGTGCTTAATATGGTCTGCATGGCCTTCTCCAGCCAGTCGTGAGACCTGATATTTTTGAACTCAGAGTGGCCTAGGTTACTTAACTGTTTTTTTTTTTTTTTTGAGATGCAAACCTGTTGATTTGTTTTTACTAGAGTTTCACAGTTCTGCTGTTGACTATAGCATCTTTGAAAGTAATTTATCTAATGATTTTTTCTCTTGCTTTTTCCACTCTAATTAGTCATTCTATAAAGAATAGAAATTGTTAGAGAGTTTTTTTCTTCTATTTTATATTAGGGTTCTTGGGGAGGTAGTGGGTGGAAGATACAGAATTTCAAAGATAAAACTTTACTTTTTTCATATTTGTAGTGTGGCTCAAATACACAGTTGCTTCATGTGTTTCAAGAAGACTTCATTAGAGGATATAAACCACATAAGGAAGATATGGAGAAAAAGGAAACAGAAATATTTTTTCAACCATCACAAGGTACTGTTAAAAAATAGTCTTGAGGGGCTTCCCTGGTGGCGCAGTGGTTGAGAGTCCGCCTGCCGATGCAGGGGACCACGGGTTCGTGCCTCGGTCCGGGAAGATCCCACATGCCGCAGAGCAGCTGGGCCCATGAGCCATGGCCGCTGAGCCTACGCGTCCGGAGCTTGTGCTCTGCAACGGGAGAGGCCACAACAGTGAGAGGCCTGCATACCGCAAAAAACAAAACAAAAACAAAACACAGTTTGTAAAAAATAGTCTTGAGTTCAATACCTTAGTCTTAGAAAACCTCCAAACTTTCATTGAGTGTGGATCTTTATATCTAAAGTCATCACTTGCGATTTTTGGAAAATACCCTAGTTCTATCAGAATTGCTTTTTTGTAGGTGAAGAACACGAGGGTAAAAATTATATTTTGAAAGACAGGTTCTCTGGTGACATAGCCTTTTGCCAAGAAATGTTATTTATGAAACCTAGTTTAATTGTTTAAAAACTTAACTTCAGTTGTTCAACTCTACAATTAAATTGTTTAGATTGGTAGTAAGTATCCCTCTGGTAGCTTAAGGAAGCCAATTAATATAAGGTTACTAAAGATTATTGATAAATATAGGAGGGAGATATTATGTTGTATGGTATACCAGGAAGCTTAGGTATGCTTAGGTATTATGTTGTATGGTATACCAGGAATTAAAGGTACCATCTCATAGTTTCCTCTCTGAAGGGTTGTATTTCTTTCTTCTTCTTCTGAAAGAAAGTAGTTCTCCTAAGACCTTTCAAGAGCAAACCGTATGATATTTAAACTTTATTATTTAGCTTTAAATATTCCTTTTAGAAGATATACTTTGTAATTATAAAACTTTCATGTTCTATTTGAAAATGAAATTTGAAAATAGAATATATTGAGTAGAATACTTTCTGTATGAAGGTAGGAAAGACATGTCCTACTTTAAGAATGCATTTTCTGTGATTAATAGTTTTTAGTTTGCAAAGGGTTTCCAGATACTTTATCTCATTTGGTTATAGATTGTAAGTATCTAGAAGGACATATTTAATTTTCTTAGTATAGCTTTTATCACAGAATTATGTATAGTCATATAAGAAAGGTATTTCTACTGAATTTGTACAGTTAATTTCGTTTTCTTTAGTGGAAAATCAGAATGAGTTCTGTCTTCTGTGAGGCTTAGCTCAAACACCTTTTCACCCCTCAGACTAATAATTTTTTCCCTTTCATGCATCTTTCTTCATAGATCAGAACTTTTCTTCTTTCTAAGTTATTCAGTTGTCACGTTCAGTTTTATTTCAGTGTCACTATAGCATAACAGTACTGTATAGATTTAAAATGTGCTTTTCCATAGTATTTCACCTTTACTTGGGTTAAACTTTTTTATATGCTTTCCTGCAAATCTAACTATCAATTATCATGCTACTTCTAACAGGGAATACATGCCAACCTACTAGAAAACAATGCTTATATAAGGTTGGTTTTTTTTAAATAATGTTTTTAATTGGAAGACCTGCATTTAAAAATATTATTTTATTTCCCTCTTTTGAGATATATATATTTATATTTTTTGGCTTGTGGGATCTTAGTTCCCCAATCAGGGATTGAACCTGGACCCATGGCAGTGAAAGCACCCAGTCCTAACCACTGGACTGCCAGGGAATTCCCTTGATATTTCTTTTTCTTTTTCTTTTTTTTCTTTTTGTTGGGATATAGTTGCTTTACAGTGTTGTGTTAGTTTCTGCTGTACAGCGAAGTGAATCAGCTATATGTATACATATATCCCCTCTTTTTTGGATTTCCTTCCCATTTAGGTCACCACAGAGCACTGAGTAGAGTTCCTTATGCTATATAGCAGATTCTCATTAGTTATCTATTTTATACATATTAGTGTATATATGTCAATCCCAGATATTTCTTTATGTCACTGTGAAATCAGGCTGAAAGATTTCCTGATGCTTTTCTTGGTTTTCCTTTAGTTTTTGTACAAAGTTTCTCTTGATTTTATAGCTGTTTTCTTAAGGGACTTGAAATGTGTATTTCTCTTCTTCCCTGACCCTGCTGTATTTTGTACTTTCTAAGTTTTAGTTAAAAATTAATTACTCTTTTAATTAAGAAAAGTGCCAATTACAGACAAAAGTAGAGTATGTAGTTAAATGAACCTTCCTATGCCCAGAACTTAGATTGATGATTTTAAGATTTTGTCACCTGCTTTACCTACCCTATTTTCTTTTCTTTTCCTTTTTTCCTGAAATATTTTAAAGCAAACTCAGCCATCATGTTGTTTCGCTCCTGTGTACTTTATGCATTTCTAAAAATGACTTTCTTACATGTGTGCTGTTATTACATTCTTAAAATAACAAAATTTCTCAGAATTCTGTAATAACTAGTCCATAGATTTACTTCATTTAATTGTCTCAAAAAAATGTCAGGGTTATTTGTTCTTAATTTGTTTGGATCCGTATCCATATAGAGTCCACACATTGTGTTTCATTTTTTAAGAGTCTTTTAAGCTAAAGTAATCTCCCTTTATACTCTTATCATGCCACAGACTTGTTTTAGAGAAAGTTATTTTATAGGAATTTCTCTGACCAGTTACTTGTGACGTCATTTAAAATTTTTCCTGTAAAGTGCAAATTACCTCTGTAGACTTGATTTGACCCAGATTCAACTTCCTAGGTATTGCTTTGTTCATCATAGAAGGTCATAAGAAAGAACATGTTAGGATGTCTCATTTTTAGTGATGCTAAGATTCAGAAAATTCACCTGGTGGCACCAGTGTAAAATTTGCCAGCAATCTATTATCTCATGGTTTCTTCCATTGATATTGTTGCTTTCCAATCAATTATTTCATTAAGGATTGCACAAGTGTGATTTTCTCGTTTTATCAGTTCTCATTTATTTATTAGCTGGAAAGCATTTGTAAGGAAAAGCTTTCCCTTATCAATGGCAGCTTTTTGGCTATTTTGAAATAGAGTTATTTTTAGGAAAGTTCTTTCCCTTTAATTGATGATTTCAAAGGAGTTTGTGCCCAGGTTGCTGCTAGTGGTTACAGATGAATTTATTGTTGTTGTTGTCTTTCTTTTTATTTTGTGAATCATTATGAACCCATTTTAGAAAAACTACTGAAGAATAATACACATACAAAGATACACTCCTATCACTCATGAATTTTTACGTAGTTAGCATCTTTCAGTCAGTTTGCAGTCATAATTCTAATTCTCACATTGTCCTGTATTAGCCTAGTGAAGACCCTTTCAAGTTGGTCCTGAGTCCTTTTGACACAACCTCATTATTTTTGGTAGTTTCCTTTTTTTCAGGCACAACAAGATATGCCAGGCTTATCTTGTAGATAGCTTTTGCAAGAATGGAGTCATCCCTCCAAACTGTTCCTTTCAATTGAGCATGGTATTTAGAGGCCACAGTTTGAGTTTTAGCAATGCTCATTGCCAGTGAGTTGCCATTATGGATTTTCTTCTCTGTTTTCTCCTCCATCCCTTCCTTCCTTCCTTTTTTATCGAATGAAGGAGTCTTTAAATTCTATACTGCTTCACAATTTTCAAAAGTTTCACACCCATAATTTCATATAATGTATAGGTTATTTCATTTTTAAAGAAAGTTTTTGTTGTCCTTTGTAAATCTCATTTTCATATATGAAAAATGCAGTTGTCAGTAGGGAACATTATGTTCACAAATAATGTCTTTTCATAAAAAATGCATAACATTTCTAAAAAGTCTCTCCTGCACCACCATCATTGGCCCTCCACCCATAACTATTAATTATTTTTTAAAAAATGCTATTTTACATATAGAAAAAGCAGGATACATGTTTACTTCATTCTTTCCATTTAATTGCCAATTTTCCAATTAAGGAGTTAGTGCCCCAGTTACTTCAGGGGGCATCCAGTGAGGCTGACTTGCTCCTGTTCTTTTTCTCCCTCTCTTGCTCTTGCATTCTCTCTCTGTGTCTTTCTCTTCCTTTCTCTCTTCCTTTCCGTTCTTCCTTCTGGTCCTCTTGTCCTTCCTTTCCTTTTTTTCTTATGTGCCCTCTCTCTTTTGGTATTCTTATGAACTCAGTGTGTTTTAATAAACTGTATTCATTTTTATTTTATTTTTTTTCATTTTGTTTTCATTTTTATTCTTTGATACTCAAATTGTCCACTCTTTGACCAATAGGTATCCCTTCATGTTCGCTTTTGTACTTTTGATGTAGCCCTTAGTCTTTGATAGCCACCTAACTTTTAGCACAAAAGTTATATAAAACTGCTTCTATACATCTATTCTTCCCTTTCCTCCCAACTTCTATACATATCAAGAGATTTTGTTTAAAACGTCTTTCTCTTAACCCTCTAGAAACGCGTTAACTTAAATATTCTTTTCCTTTAACAATAGGATATCGGCCACCACCATTTTCAGAAAAGTTCTTTCTAGTAGTAATTGAAAAGGACAGCAATAATTGCTCTGTTCTCCACATGTGGCACCTTCATCTTAAATCTGTACAGGCATGTTTAGGTAAGTAATTATATTATAGTTTTATGTAGATATGATATGAAATAAATTCATTTTTACTGGATATGCTTTAGGTTGGTTAATTCTTTAAAATGAAGATCCAGTGAACTGTAAATTGAGTTGCTGAATTGAAGTATGTATAGGCCAAACTTTTAATTACAAGGCCATAAATCATTAATGAAACAGGTTAATCTAAAAGCAAACCAGTCAACGGGCACATTAGACATATTAAAAAAAATGTTTGATTATTTTTTAATTAATATTTATTAAATGCCTATTATGACTCTGTTCTAGATACCGTGTCTCTATAAATCAGTTTTGCCCATAGAACTAATATTGTATTTTTTTGTTGGTTAATACACACTGCCATCTGATACCATGCACATTAGCTTTAGCATCACTAAAAGAAGGAGATTTGCTATTTAGAAAATGTGATTGAGTATCTGATGTTCAAAAGGGGAACTGGTTTTGTAGAATATTAGGAAATGCAGCAGTGATTAAAAAAATTATTTCAGCCATGCTTTTGCTATACATATTCATATTGATGTCTTAGCAAATTAAAAGATCTGTAATATGAGGTACAGAAATTGATTATAAATCTTTCTTTTTAAAACAAACTTACTTTTTGAGAGATACTTGTTTAAATGAAGAAATGCATAGTTAGCCATATCACACTGAATCTACTTTAAACTGATTAACCCAAAATATTTGAGTTTTGAAAATATTTTATTATTTCTGATGGTTACATAATTTTAATGATTTTATACACACTAAACATTTAATACAGAGAAGTAATAATGTGTATGTCTTTTGTTCTCTTTGTAATCCACATTATCACATAACTGTGTAAATAGCAGTTCTAACTGGGCCATGAACTGGGGCTGGAAAAGCCAAATGATTCAATAGAACCTTTACCTGTGCCTAGTTGAGCCTAATCTTCTTGTGGCAGGAGGAATCCAAAAAAATTTTCAAAGCCTTTGGAGTTAATTCTTGGCATTACATGTTGTTCCACAGGAATGCAAGAGTAGAGGGATCTATTGATAAAAGCTTGTCAGGAAGAGAATTTTATCTTTATTTTTTTAAATTGAGGTAACATTGGTTTATAAAATTATATAAGTTTCATGTGTATAGCATTCTAATTTGATTTCTGTATACACTACAGTGTGCTCACCACCAAAAGTATAGTTTCCATCTGTCACCATAGAGTTTACTCCCTTTACCCATTCTGCCCTTGCCCACCCCCTTTCCCCTCTGGTAACCACCAATCTGTTCTCTCTATCTATGTGTTAGTCTTTGTTTTGTTTTGTTTGTTCACTTACTACTTTTAAAAACTATTCCACATATGAGTGAAACCATGCAGTATTTGTCTTTCTCCGTCTGACTTATTTCACTTAGCATAATACCCTCTGGGAAGAGAATTCTTAACCCACCAGAGAATATAGTATTTTCTAGAGTTGGGCACAGAGTCAGGAATGGTTCTGAAGAGATTAATAGAGGTAGCAACAGATCCTTGTGGTAGGATAGGAATCATGTGATGCCTTCTCTCCCGCTGCTTATGAAGGAAGTATCCCACTGCTGTTCCCCTCAGGTCTGGGCTAGTGTAGAGTTGCCTTGCTTACTCTGTTTGTGACAGCAGTAAAATGTCACAAACAGTGAGATTACAGTAGAAGCAAACAAATCATATGCTATCTTTAGCTTTGACATAAAGCATCTATCTTGTGGTTCTAAAATGTGCAGCAGATTTAACATGGTGTACACTGCCATTAAAGCTGATACGTGAATTTAGCGGTGTGTTGAAAATCCTGGCAAAGGGTGAAGCGATAGACTAGACTTACATTTAGGTGGGGAAGGAACATTTGGAGTACCTTCTAGGTACCAGGTACTGAGATAGGTACTTTATATATGTGAGATAGATGTTACCTTCAGTTTACTAATGGAATAATATTAAGTAACTTGACCAAATGACACATCTAGTTTGTCACAGACTAAGTTTCAAAATTAGGTCTTCTGGCTTTAAAGCCTTTCTTTTGCTTTTTCCCCCTGCTCTTATTTTCTTTCTTTGCATGAGATATATGCATTAGAAAATTGCCTGGTTTACAGAAAGAGAGATGATTCAGTTCACCCTTATTTTGCAGGTGAGAAAATAGCTAGAGATGATGAAGTACCTTGCTTAAGGCAACATATCTAGTTAGTTTTAGAGTAGGAGTAGTATTTCTGTCTTCTGACTACTGATTCAAGTTTGTCGTCTTATTCTATTTTACAAAAAATGTTTTCACATTTCTTATTTAGTGGTCTGCCATTATAAAAGAGATTGACATATTTAAAATCCACCAGAAGCAAAAGGGGATTGATTATTATCTCTCCGTATTCTGGTGCTACTCGGGATGTATAAAGCTAATAAGACCTCATCCTTGCCCTTGATGAATTCATAGTCTAATGTGGGGGAGGGAGATGGACATACAAATAAATAAATGTGATGCAAAGTATCTCTTACATGTAGCAGAAGCACAGATAACTAAATCTGCTTAGAGATTTACACTCCACCTGAATGTGAAAGCTGGAAGCTTTTTGGACAAAGATCAAGGTCAATATGCTTACAAAGCCATTCAACTAATACTATCTTAAATTTGTTTGGAACTTTTATATGCTCTTGAGATCTTGTTTATTATCTTGTTTCAGCACTTGGTAGTTAGTAGGCTGGTATTTTAATGTCTTCTTTACCACTAGCTAATTTTAAGACCTAAGGAAAATCATTAAGCTTTCCAAGTTTAAATTTCTTCATCTATTAAGTGAGCCAGTACCTTGTTATTTCTCAAAGTTTGATTTATGACCCATCTGTTTCAGAAACACCTTGGCTGCTTATTAATGCAGATTTATGGGATCTACCCCAAAACAACTGAGTCAGTGTTTCTGTGGTTAGGCCTGAGAACCTTCATGTTAAAAGTTCCTCAAGCTTTTGATGTGTTTTAAAGGTTGAGAACACTGGGCTAGAGAACTTGTTTTTTTTCTAGATCTTACATGTTGTGATTCTTCACTGACAATATCCCTGTGATGCAATTGCTGATGCTAAGAAAGAGTAAAATAGTTAAAAAAAAAATTCTATCAAGGTAACTGAGCAAAAGTTCGAAAATTGATCTTGTCTCCAGAGCACTTTTAAGAAACCATGTTTCTTAAATCATCACAAAATATTATTCTAGCTCATGTATATAGTGATGATACTAATATATTTCATAATTTCATAATTTATTTTCAAAGCTAAAGCTTCAGAAGGTGTTTCATCAGAGAGTCTACTTTCAGTCCCTGGACAGAAGAACATAGACTCTTCTCCAGAAACCTCTCCTAGTGTGAGCCCCATGCCACATTCTTCATCAATTGCCAACCTTCAAACTGCTAGTAAACTGATTCTGAGTTCTAGACTGGTATATAGCCAACCTCTTGATCTCCCAGTAGGAGTTGAAGTAATAAGAGCAACGCCTTCAGCAGGTAACATAACTTTTAAGATCGGACAGTTGTAGCTCAGAGCAATCTTCAGTGCATAAAATGGATGAACTCTTCTGAAATATGTGCAGAGTTGACACTGAAATAAAGATTTGTTTTCTACTAATGATACCTCTATTTAGAAACATGTCTATTTTAGAAATAATTTCCTGTGATAAATGTAATCAGCTTGACAGAAAATAGTGTGAATATTTTAATGCAAGGTTCCTTGCCTACACTGTGATTTCCTATAAATAGGAATACTGTGATAGTGAAATTGCAAAGAAAAATATGGTCATATGTGAATTATTGAAGCTTTTTTTTTAATTAAGGCTTTTCATCCACAGTACTGCTGTTATTAAGTATGTTTGACCAAGAGTTGGCAGATACTTTGGGGGAAAAATATAGGATACAGGATTAGAGTTTGGTTTGCCTAGAGTGATACTGACATTAGCAAGGTTGGTAAAATAGTTTAAAGAGCAGGACTGGCATCTGTATTTTAAAATGTTCTGTCATTGTGGAATTTGAATTGAGGAGTTGCTCGAATAGTGTTTTTGGGGAACCAGAAATGGAGGTTCAAGACTATTCCAATTACTGGTGAATGATTTTGAGTATGAGGTTCTCTTACTCATCCCTTACATAGGTTTGGAATCAGAGTTGGAAAGACCACATTAAGAGTTTACTCTGGGGTTTTGTGGCAGGTGCAGATTTAGGTCAGCTTTTGAATCTTTCAAAGTATTTGGAAAGTTTAGGATATACTCAAATAAGTTTATTGGAATTAATAATGATAAATTACATTTTGCAGGGACTCTGTAAAATGCTTTCAAGTGTCTTGTTGGACAGTAAAACTCCAAGGGAAGTAGTAACATGATCCCTATTATTTATTTATTTATTTAAATATTTATTTATTATTTTTGGCTGTGTTGGGTCTTCGTTTCTGTGCGAGGGCTTTCTCTAGTTGCGGCAAGCGGGGGCCACTCTTCATCGCGGTGCACGGGCCTCTCACTGTTGCGGCCTCTCTTGTTGTGGAGCACAGGCTCCAGACGCGCAGGCTCAGTAGTTGTGGCTCACAGGCCTAGATGCTCCGCGGCATGTGGGATCTTCCCAGACCAGGGCTCGAACCCGTGTCCCCTGCATTGGCAGGCAGATTCTCAAGCACTGCGCCACCAGGGAAGCCCCTCCCTATTATTTAGATAGAACAGGCTCGGATGTTTAAGTGGCTTTCCCACTGTTAGGAAGGCATTGATACAATGGAACTTGAATCCAGGCCTTCTGATCCCAATCTTAATCACTGTTACCCCTCATCTTATAGTTGTTTTTTTTTAAATTAATTGATTTAATTTATTTATTTTTGGCTGCGTTGGGTCTTTGTTGCTGCGTGCGGGCTTTCTCTCATTGTGGTGAGCGGGGGCTACTCTTTGCTGTGGTGCGCGGGCTTCTTGTTGCAGTGGCTTCTCTTGTTGTGGAGCACGGGCTCTAGGCGCGGGCTTTAGTAGTTGCAGCATGTGGGCTCAGTAGCTGTGGCG